AACAAAAGCATAAAGATTCTAAGGTCAGAAATCCTATCTACAAAAACAATGGAGATAGAAATGGTCAATATCTTGTGCTATGTGGCATTTTGCTACAAGAAAATGGACCAAAATGCAACCAGCTTAATGCTTAATTATAACTATATTTCTGCCTGGAATCCAGCATAAAATTCTTGTTAACCCTGTGAGGATAGTTTCAATATGAAAAAGTTTTCTAAGCACCAGTCAGAATAAAAAATAGATAAAATTAGTTTTTGTTTATTGTGCCCCATCGTCCCAAGAGAATGTTTTCTTAGAAATCCTTTGCTGGCAACAACTGGCTACCAGGAATTTCATATCCACTTACTGAGGCAAAATTATTTGCCATTTTCCTGTTGCCTTAAACTGGAATATTACCCCTCCATCTGTAAGAGACACATTATTTTTACTCAGTCAAGGGTTTTTGACTTGAGTGTTCTCATGGATTAAAATATTATGTTTTCTCCCAAAGAGAACAGAAATTTATGTCACTTTGCTCACACAACATGAATACCCCACCTCCACCACCTGCTGGCTCTTTTCACACTCCAGCACCCAGCAGGAGGTTTATATATTGTCCCCTAGGGAGGGCCTTCCCTGTGAGTCTGCCATAAAAGCTCAGCTCTAACCTTGCCTTGACCCATCAGGACTCCTGAGTTCACCTTCTCACAGTGACGTTCTCTGCTCAGCTCCTGGGGCTGCTAATGCTCTGGGTCCCTGGTAAGGACAGGAGATGAGGGAGGAGAATGGGGTGGGAGGGTGAGCTCTGAGGCCCCTCTAGCTACCATGTGTTAGGTGTGCTCACCTTGTCCTCCAGGATGAGGCATGTGGGGTTTAGATATGTGAGAGTAAGGAAGATTCTAGAAGGAACAAGGGTCTGTGCTCTGGCGAAGATTCTGACACAGAAAGGGGGGCATGATGTAGGTGGTATCTAGAGACCTTTTTGTGCTTTGCAAATCACTGTTCTTTTTTTGAAATTTATAGGTTTTAATGTAGAAATCAAAATAAGACAGAAACTAAAAATGATTTATGACATAAATAACAAAGGAAAAAGTCTCCTAATGTTTGTTTAGAGCCTTGCATTTTGCTGTCCTTATTTCAGGATCCAGTGGGGATATTGTGATGACCCAGACTCCACTCTCCCTGCCCGTCACCCGTGGAGAGCTGGCCTCCATCTCCTGCAGGTCTAGTCAGAGCCTCCTGCATAGTAACGGAAACACCTATTTGTGGTGGTACCTGCAGAAGCCAGGACAGTCTCCACAGCCCCTGATTTATAAAGTTTCCAACCGGTTTTCTGGGGTCCCAGAAAGGTTCAGTGGCAGCGGGTCAGAGACGGATTTTACACTGAAGATCAGCAGGGTGGAGGCTGAGGATGTAGGAGTTTATTACTGCATGCAAGGTACACAACTTCCTTCCACAGTGATACAACCCTGAACAGAAACCTTCCAGCTTGTTTTCACCCAGCTGCTCTTACTTCTTGTTATCTAAGAAGCAGCTTAGCAGTTTATCTGAGTCTGCGTCAGTCGAAGATGCTAGAGGAACAGGGAATAATTTGCCATAACCATAAATAAGTGGTCCATTAGGGGTAGCTGTGGACTCTGGACCATGGGAGTCTCAGCTACACATAAGACACCACCTATTCATGCTTATCCATTGCAGTGGTCCTTATATAAACAGGCAAGAATGAGGGGATCCAGGTGCCATCTGAGTAAACAAGCACAAAAGAAAGGAAAGGTGAATGGTGAATAAAAGCTCATCCAAATCCCACTGATTTTTACCTATGTTGGACTACATAATTTCGTCAAATTAACAGCCAGTCTATTGACAGATTTTTGGCAATATATGTGGAATACATCTCAGGGTTTGGCAGCTTTTGCTATATTTTTAAGCATAAAATATTTAGTAATATTCAGAGATTGGTATAGTTACTCTTGCTCAACTTCCTTTATCTCTTATTTTCTAGATATCTCTCCACCCTACAAAGATAATAGAGATAGCATTCTATGCAAGCTGCCTTTCAAAGCTGCAGGGACAACCACTCATGTCACTGGGAGGAGACCTACTATAGTTTGGATGTTTGCATCCCTCAGACTTCATGTTGAAATGTTATTCCCTATGTTGGAGGTAGGCCCCAAAAGAAGGTGTTTTGGTTATGGGAAAGAATCCCTCATGAATATATTGATGCCCTCCCTGGAGGAAGAGTGAGTTCCCATTCTACTAGTTCCCAAGAGAGAGTTTGTGGTTAAAATGAGCCAGGCACTTCCACTCTCCCTCTCCTGCTTCCTGTCTTGCCTGATCTTTGCACACACTAGCTCCCCTTTGCTTACCATCATGAGTGGAAGCAACCTGAGGTTCTCAACAGACACTCAGTCTTCCAGCCAGCAGAATACCATGAGCCAAGTAAATCTCTTTCCTGTATAAATTACTTAGCCTAAGGTATTCCTTTAACACGATGCTAAAACCCAGAACAAAAAGTAGCTCAGCCTGGCTGAACAGAGAAACTAAGCAATACTCTGTTTTTATGATCTTTGCAGGTGCAGCTGGGGAAGGAATCTACTCAATACCATCATGTCTGGCCCATTCAGCAGAGCTGACACACAAGAGTCAGTGCTTATACTTTCATCTTTACCCGCAGTCACTTTCAAACTAGGGTAACAGTTGTTGCAGATCACTTCTCCCTTTTCTTTCAGTACATGTTCACAAATTGTCCTTTAAAAGTTGGTAAAAACTTTGGATTATTCTTCAGGGCTACAGTTACTCATTTATGACAAAACCATTTTAAAGGGTAAAGTTCAGCAAAAAATCAGGTGACGGTCTGAAGCTCTAGTGACAGAGGAGCCATGGATTCAGGTTCCAGTCATTGTGGATTCAAAGGAATGATATATTGTTCCTATATCCAAAGCAGCTCTGTGAAGTCTGACATTTGTCAAATCAGATTAAAGTCTAAGGTTCACTTTCACTGAATATTTGGGTTTTGATACATGAAACTGGTCTGTCGAGGACAGAATTATAAATATCTAGCTATGGCTTTGGAAATGAGGACTATGCCAGAAACAATATTTACCTGGAATAAGAAAAGAAATCAGCATCTTTTGTTGCCAGTCTTAGAAGCAAGACAGGGCTAAAAGCGGAGAAAGGTTGAAATTAACAACTCTTAATTCCTCATTAAGGACTGCTTCATCAAAATCTGAGTGGACCAAAGCTAAAACTACAAAGAGAAAGTATCTTCAGGAACTCAAGTAAGATGTGAAAACCAAATGAACATTGCCTTTTATGTCTTGTTTGACATATGAAACAAAAGGAGATCACCCGTGATCCTTAGAATGCTCTTTTCCGCACATCAAAAATATTGTCTATTTTCTTTTTCCACCTCTAATATCAAAACTCCAGTTTGAAAAAATTTATTTTTTAAATTTTCATCATTCTTGATAGACCAGTATCTTATTGCTAACATTTTTAATACCAAGAGAAACTAAATTCACTTTTGACTATTTTCTGTGTATTTATTCATTTATTTAAAAATAACTTTGGAATACAATGCAGTCATTGAGAATTCAGACTTATACTCAGTAACATTTTTATTAAAGATTCTCATCTGATTTGGTCACATAAAGTTATATCAATTTTCTATCAAAATTTTTTAGTAACACAGATATTTTATTCCAGAGAAGTTGAAAAATGCATTTTAAGAAATGTGTTTCAGACACTGCCACCAACTTTCTCCACAAGATGTACATAGGCAATTGCTTGATAAGATATTGAGTGTCTCTTACCTAAAGATGTTAACAAAAAGGCTAGGGTCTGGGTCATGATGGTGTCCCACTCACTGGTAAAAAGTAAAAGTGGAAAGTGTCATTGACGGTGCATGGCAGGGACGTGCTGCATGCAGTGGCCACCCTTGCTAAGACAGATGAATTTTGGTAAATAATATTCAATGGCAGAAAAGAAGGTAGACTATGAAGGTGCCCAAAACAGGAATAAGGTGCTGCCCATTTAGTCTCTGTGTATTAAAGAGACCTGTAGCTCTTGATAATGGTGGATATGTGAGTGCAGCATGAATTGTGGAAATACAGGATCATCTTTGTGTATCTGTAGTAAACAGCTTTATCTTTTTTTTTTTTTTTTTTTTTTTTTTTGAGACAGAGTTTCGCTCTTGTTGCCCAGTCTGGAGTGCAATGGCGCGATCTCGGCTCACCGCAACCTCTGCCTCCCGGGTTCAGGTGATTCTCCTGCCTCAGCCTCCTGAGTAGCTGGGATTACAGGCACACGCCACCATGCCCAACTAATTTTTAGTATTTTTAGTAGAGACGGGGTTTCACCATGTTGACCAGGATGGTCTCGATCTCTTGACCTTGTGATCCACCCGCCTCAGCCTCCCAAAGTGCTGGGATTACAGGCTTGAGCCACGGCGCCCGGCTAACAGCTTTATCTTATACTGGTAAGAACTATGGCTTAACACCAATACCTAATACTTAAAATATATAGCATAATATCAATAAATTTTTATTTTTAATTTTTTTAGAAAGGAACAACATCAAACTCACAGAAACGTTGCAAGTATAGCACAAAGTACCCCCTTCCCTAACTGGAAGCATATGAGAATTTTCTGAAGACCTGAGAATCCTACCGTCTACTATTTACTGTATGTTTCCTACAAACAAGAATATTCTCCTAAGTAATCCCCATACACCAATGAAATATGTTACTCCGTCAACTCCTGTGGAATATTTCAAATTGTCAAAAAATACCTGAAAAATGTTTCTCATAACAAACTAGACCCCAATAGAAACACATTCTCTGCAGACAAATTTGCACTACCCTGGTCTTACCTGGGACATCTGGGGACACTGAGTCAGTGCTGAGTTACTGAGATGAGCCAGCTCTGCAGCTGTGCCCAGCCTGCCCAGTCCCCTGCTCATTTGCATGTTTCAAAGCACATCCTCCTGTCTGAAGACTTATTAATAGGCTGGTCACACCCTGTGCAGGAGTCAGTCCCAGTCAGGACACAGCATGGACATGAGGGCTCCCGCTCAGCTCCTGGGGCTCCTGCTGCTCTGGCTCCCAGGTAAGGAAGGAGAACACTAGGAATTTACTCAGCCAGTGTGCTCGGTACTGCCTGGCTACTCAGGGAAGTTCTCTTACAATTTGATTAACAGTGTGGACATTTGTTTCTATGTTTCCAATCTCAGGTGCCAGATGTGACATCCAGATGACCCAGTCTCCATCTTCCCTGTCTGCATCTGTAGGAGACACAGTCACCATCACTTGCCAGGCAAGTCAGGGCATTAGCAAGTGGTTAGCCTGGTATCAGCAGAAACCAGGGAAAGCCCCTAAGCTCCTGATCTATGACGCATCCAAATTGCAAAGTGGGGTCCCATCAAGGTTCAGCGGCAGTGGATCTGGGACAGATTTTACTCTCACCATCAGCAGCCTGCAGCCTGAAGACTTTGCAACTTACTACTGTCAACAATATAACAGTAACCCTCCCACAGTGTTACAAACCCGAACATAAACCCCCAGGGAAGCAGATGTGTGAGGCTGGGCTGCCCCAGCTGCTCCTTCTGATGCCTCCATCAGCTGCGAGCGTTCTTCAGATGCAGCCACACTCTGATGGTGTTGGTAGAGGGGGACATGAAGTCACCTCTGCACCCTAATTCTTTTCTCTTTCTCAGCCCCAACAGCACACACATAGCATTTTATAAAATCTCCTGATTTAATAAAGACAGAGTTCATTACACCTGAAGAGTGTAGTTTATGGCTTCAGTTGGAATTCATATGACAGAAAAGAAGCCACTATAGATATCCTAAGCAAGAATTGTCTTACTACAGAGGATTAGAGTCTAAACTGCTGAAGTCTAAATAAAATGTAGAGGTGAATCTCTAAATTTAGTGTTTTGTTTGCAAAGAAATATTTGGCAAATGGGGCATAGAGGAAAATGGAGTGGTCTTCAATATGTTGGAATAACAGAAGGTTAGAATTTTATGAAAAAGGGGAAATGTTACTTATTGCTCTTTGAGAAAGTTCATTGGCACTCGTAAGTGCTGGGTGCTGGCAAGCTCAGACTGGTAAGCAGTGGCGGACAAAGTGAATCCTAGAATTCTATCAAGTTATCTCAGAAGTTGTGGCTAAATTTGATTTCAGGTTACAATAAGCCAAAGCAGTGAAGCAAGAAGAGAATTTTGTTATTGAATGCCAGGGATATGCTATAGAGCCTGCTGCTCACCACACAGAAAACCAATCACTAAGAAAAGTATTGCCAAGGAACAGGCTTTTACTCAGGAGCTCCAGCCGAGGAGATGGGACACCATTCTCAAATGTATTTCCCTGATCAACTAAAATTAGGGGTTCATATAGCAGGGGAAAATGTGGAAAAACAGAAATTAGGGAGCAGTAAGAAAGATAATTTGTTCAACAGGAAGCAGGACGTCAGTTAGGCAATCATAATGGGTGAAGAGTCTGATGTCTCACTGTCCCGATTCAGTGATAATTAAGTTTCAGCTTCTTGATAGTGTCTGGGAGACCTGACAGTTGATTTTTTGTAAAAAATAGCTCAGATAAGACAAATGTAACTATCTTGAGTTTTAAAACTTGGAGAGTCAATTTTAATATTCATTCAAAAAAAAACCCATCAACATTGGTGCCATGGGATAAGAGGGCCTACTTCAATTGCATTCTAGAAACAGTATTTCACACCCTGAGTGCCTTTCCCTCCTCGTTTCCTGGCTCTGTCGTATAGGACAAGAATAACCCAATTCCTATGATTAACTTTCACACTACAACCTTTCAAAGCCAAGGATATAGTAGTCAGGAATGTTGATATTAGAAACAGGATTCCCTGATGCTCCCTCAGAAAACAGAATGGCATCTGCCCTGGAAGTATGGACTATCTAACCATGTTGTCCTCAGTCCTGTCTGGAAACTTAGGGGTGGGGGTGCTGATGCTCTCAGCTGCCTACAGCATATTTCCAGGTGTTTCTCCAATCCTCACCTCTGTCCCTGTGTCTGTCTTGGGTAACAATGGAAAATATTTAGTCATCCTTTTCTGACTTCCAAATCTCATGGGAGGATCTCTTATTGAGCAACTCTTAAATTAACTAGGGAGGGTCCTGCTTTTCATTTAATATGCAGTCTTACTTTTGCTGAACAACGCTCTGTGGCTTAGGAAGCTCACATGGCAGGCAGGAGTAGGTGCCCCATTGATATGCCTTGAATACTTAGCTATGAGGACGGATAGTGATGTTCCATCAGGCAGCAGTGATGTTCTGTGGCACAGCAGCAAAATGTCAATACCTCTATTGCACTCAGCAGTGAGAATGATGGTCACCAGCACCCAACATGGCCCAAAGGGAATGGTTCACATGCAGATAAGCACACAAGTACATACTCATCATGGGCTCTGCACGTTTCCTGAAACCTTCTAATGTCATCGATTTAATTTTTTCCTAGGGAAACTGGATATATTGTCATGTGGATTCCAGCATACAAAAATCCCAGAAAAGTCTGAATTCTTTTTTAACTCCTTTTATCTTGACAGGAATACAGGGCTACTAGCCTCTGGTGGAGGCTTTGGCCCTATTCCTAACTGTGCCATTCAGATCAAGACATTTGAGTCTGCAATGTAACTTAATCAAACAAGCACACCAACCAGGCTGCATGAGACTTCCTTAGCCTTTTTTCAAGTCTCTTCTTTAGAGAGTGAGCCTCCTTTTCTGTGAAAGCAGTGTTCATTTTGGTTCTTTCTCAGATGCTTCCGGGATCACTGAGAATATCTTTCTTGTGTCCTCGGGTGACTCAGGGCTCATCTGAGTACCCATGTCCTGAGCTCTCTGGCCCCAGGAATGAGCAATCAAATTAGTGTCTAACAAGCAGGAAATTGTACACCATTCCCGTTTCCACATTCCTTTCTCTCTGTCTCAATTCAGTCAGCCAGCTGCTGATCCATATTAATGAGGTGAGGAAAAATGTCCTATTTATCCTCCCTCTTCCTTAAACATCCATCTGCATGTCCAGCTCGTGCCTCGCCAGGCTGAAGTCTCTGTCCTGGGCCAGGTACTGGAGAGTATTGTTCCCCCAACTTCACCAATAAGCCATGGTTGTCTCAAATCCAACCTTCTCAGTGCACCAATTTTGCTAAGAAGGTTTGCTGTGCACTGGTTACCAACTTACCCAGATCTAATGAGACAAAACACCCATGTGCAACCAGTTACATAAAGTGTTTTACTACTTACAGAGAGTCAGCAAGAGAGAGCAGAAAGCTGCCTGGGTCTGACTGACTCTAGACTGTGCATACCCCACAAGTACTGTAGCTGAGGGATCCTGGAATGTAGCCCACCCTGGGTTTTATGTTTTAGAATCAAATGACACATTGGGCTATAGTGCTGAAGGAATTTCCATTTCTAATAGGGACAGAAACAGAGCCCAGGCTGTTCTGGCCAATCTTGCCCTACCTCACAATGTTACATTTCCAGAACTTTCTACAGTAATTCCTGGAAACTACAAGCAAGAAAGGGAAGGGGACTGGGTTGATTCAAGACAAAATGGAAACTGTTCTGCAAATACCGTAGTGAAATCATAACTCAGTAATCTTTTTCTGACTGGCTTATTTCACTCAGTGTAATGTCCTCTAGTTTCATCCATGTTGTAACATGGGTCAGTATTTCCCTTTGTAAAGCTAAATAATATGTTACTGTATGTAGATAGATAGATAGATAGATAGATAGATAGATAGATAGATAGATAGATCAAAATGGTAGGCTTCTAATACACATTTCTTATGTCAACTAAAATTCTAAGCAAATTAAAAGTCACTAAAAATGGAAAATATTTAAATGCAAGGAAATATTTTTAAGTTAGGGAAAGAGATCCAAGATACCTTATAGTTCATATAATTTTTTTCAGAAATTAAAATTACCTATCAAGAGTTCTTAGCATAAAACTGTAATGCTCTTTACCATGTATGTACACTAAATGTGTAGATATACAGATGTATTTCATTTTTCTTCCTTTTTTCTTAAGATACTTGAGTCTATGTGACCATAGCACTTCTTTAAGACTTTTAGAGCCTGCTTGCTCCGTGGAAATCCCAGTGTCCATTATTGTATGCATTCTGACTGGAGTCTGTGGCAACAGAGAATTGTTACTGGGTGTACCAGACTCAGATTTTGGACACACAAAGTTTCCCGATGGAGCCACAAATTGTGCCTCTTTTGAATGGCAATTCCTTGCTTTCTGGAGGAAACTCACAGGTGCTGAGTATCTCAGAGCCTGAATTTTCAGGCTGCCTTTTGTAAAAGAGAAGTGATTTCTTTGCAATGCCTGAGGTTAGAAAGGAAGCTATTTTTGAGCTGCTTTCCGTTAGAAGAAAAGTTTTCTGCCCGGACTTGCTTTACCTTAAATGTCTACGTAAATAATTTCTTTTTGCCTCCTGTAACACCAATGTCTAGTGAACAGCTTATAATCTTGCTTCCCAGGTTTATATCAAATACGTCAAAGAAATGCATTCTTTATTGGAAAAATAATTTTTGTCTAATTTGGAAGTTATTAAAAGAGAGATTCCAAATATGAGGAAACCAGTAAATAGAGATGTAAGGAGAGTTATGGGTGAAATATGTATATTTTTGCAGGGAGAGAATATAAAGAAAGAGTAACTTGGTATAAAAAAAAAAAAAAAAAAGATCTTGGCCAGGTGCAGTGGCTCACGCCTATAATCCCAGCACTTTGGGAGGACAAGGTGGGTGGATCACGAGGTCAAGAGATTGAGACCATCCTGGTCAACAGGTGAAACCCTGTCTCTACTAAAAATACAAAAATTAGCTGGGCATGGTGGCGCGCACCTGTAGTCCCCGCTACTCAGGAGGCTGAGGCAGGAGAATTGCTTGAACCCAGGAGGTGGAGGTTGCGGTGAGCTGAAATCGTGCCATTGCACTCCAACCTGGGTAACAAGAGTGAAACTCCGTCCCAAAAAAAAAAAAAAGATCTTGTCTGATAAATTCTTATCCTAGAGAAAATGACTAATTATTTAAGAAAGGTGTAGTATTGGTCAGTCAGAAAGTCCAAGCATGGTATGGGGTGGGGGCTCTGTGTAAGTCAAGATAAGGTTTGGAAAGAGGATTTTATGAAAGAAATTTTGTGCTTGACTAAGCTTGCTATAACTGAGCAAAAATTGTTTGTGGTAGACTTTCTAGAAAATGGTCTGCATATTGGAACTGGGTTATCTTAAGTTATTGATTTGCTAAATTATAAAAATTTTGTTTTTGAGGCCAGGTGCAGTGGCTCACACCTGTAATCCCAGCACTTTGGGAGGCCAAGATGGGCAAATCACTTGAGGTCAGGAGTACAAGACCAGCCTTGCCAACATGGTCAAACCCTATCTCTACAAAAAATACAAAAATTAGCCATGCGCAGTGGCACATACCTGTAATCCCAGCTACTTGGGAGTCTGAGGCAGGAGAATGACTGTAACCAGGGAGGCAGAGGTTGCAGT